TGAATATAGAATCATATCGGATGAGACGAGCGCCAACTTCTTTGACAAGTATTTGCACATGTTTTAGTAAGCGTTCTTGTTTTAGGAAAATAATGAGACTTCTCTAATCATCAACCTACGACCAAATCATTTCTTAAAACAACAATTATGTTAAGATTGAGGTACACATTGATATTATGTAAACAAAACAAAGACTTTCTTACCGTGTCAGAAGAAAAATCGATCACGTCCGCTTGGTTAGTACCTATATCCGCTGTACCGATGATACACGGTGTTACTGGACAAGAACGAGTGAAAAAAGCGACAGTGTCTTGTAATTATGTGGATACACTTTCAATAGTCACACATATATTTTATATACATTTATTTCGGGAATTATTTTTTAATTTATTATGCGCTCTATTGATGCCAGATTTTCCTTTTTTTTACTATCAATGTTCAACCACACCTATATATGCATTCTTTTTTATAGGACTTTCCTCGTAGATGAAACAGGGGTTTTATCCCAAAAGGACGTCACGTTTTGCAATGAATAAGATCTATATTATTTTTAACGTTTTCAAATGAAATGAATTGAATTGAAAATTTCCCGACTATAGACAAGACAAGACGTATACATGTACATATACGTAGACTTCGTTTGGATGTGACATGTCTTTAAAATTAATACAGTTGAAATAAGACTGAGAATGAAACTTTTTTCTGTTAACTATGTACCATAAATTTAGGTACATCTCTCTACGATTAATCAGTTCAGTTCAGTTCAGTTTCTTGTATATTCCTCCACTAATTGTGGAGCACTACCCATAGGGTATAATTGTAGCAACTATATACACCTTAGAACATAAGGAAACATTTAATTATGTACAGATGACTGAATTAAGGCAATAATAATTACTAAATAGTTAATATTATAACTTATTCATAGGATTGTCATCATAAAATTTTAAAAATAATATTCATAATGTGCTGAAGTGTAAGAATAAGTTAAGTAAGAACTGGATATATTTACAAATAAGAATTTAGAATTTAAGTGGTCTTAAATTAAACTTTCTTATAATTGTTAGTTAAAGGTGCTATACGTACATCAGAATTTATAATGAGAAGGTTATTTTATAAGACTTATGTAAAAGGGTTGGGGTTTAGAACGATTCATCATATATACATGTTTTCCTTCACAGTTTACAGTTACCTTATTTCGGATCTTATCATTATTCTTTAAAGGTTACTGGATATTTTAAAACTTTGCAAAAATTTTTTATTTAATTTAGGTCCTAATACGTCATAAAATAGTAAGATGATAAAGTAGGGAACTATTTTATTTTCAAAAAGTTTACTTATACTGTACTTGTTTTCAAGTTTTTTATCCTTTTTGTCCTCTGAGTATATGCATGGCTTGGGTGAAAGAAAAGCAATTGATCTATACTCATGCAAATAACCCTTTCAATTATGAATTCTTATAAACTGAACAAGTAATAGCTTTTCTAAAAAGCTAGCCGTCTCATAGCTGATGAAAGTGGAAAATGTTTTTCCTCTTTGTAGTTCAATTCGTTCAAAATTGTATGTAAATTGTAGTAGATAACAAAAATTATAAAAGGCTTATACCTTTTTTTAGATTTACCAATTTTTTTTGGGGGAAAGTATTAAAACTGGAAATTGGGGGTAATGTCTTTTTATCGATTATTTTTTTTCAAACAGATCGGAGTTGTTCGTTGTCTTTTTCTTTGGTTGTTTGCTTGTTTATTTGTTTATTTGTGTTAGAAAAGTATGGCCGCTTCCACCTGAAAGTTTTTCGTTCATAATAGGCATCGAAAAGTGTAGAGAGCAGGCATGGGGTAAGGCAAATTTGTAATTGTAATGCATGGTAATGCATTACATTTTTCCAAGTAATTGCATGTAATGTGTAATGCAGCAATTTGTGCATTACATGTAATTGTAATATAATGCATTACTTCAGCAAAAAGTTGTGTAATTTCATGCATTACATGGCATTACATGTCATTACTTTTTTCACATACTACATCTTTAACATATTGTTGGAGTTTTAACTAAACCAAATTTAAGATTTCTTGATTAATTAAGAATATGTTAATTTTAATTAAGGTCTATGTTTATTTTATAATTAGGGAAGTAATTCACAGTAATTAAATATTTCGTTTAAAATTTAAAGAAAAACAACAAAAAATATATTTATAAAAGTAAAGTCAACATTAAGTTAAAATAATTAAAAATTGTAAAAGTCAAATTAAATAGACTTTTTACATGTATACTTATATTCAATTCATGGAACAGTTACTGCATAAGCTAGAATCTTTTGTGACTTGTAGTTGTTTTTCAAAATGTTTAATTTTTCTATTCACTAATAAAATTTTCAAATGTAATGTGTAATTCAAGGCATTACTTTGCAAAAGTAATTGTAATATAATGCATTACTTTGATAAATGCATGTAATTGTAATTGTAATATAATGCATGGTTTGTCAAAGTAATTGTAATATAATGCATTACATTGCAATGTAATTCGCCCCATGCCTGGTAGAGAGTGAAACGTAGTAAAATTTAAACATATAAGAACACAATTAATATATTTCCAACGGTATCTCACATCTTTTCAAAAATGATCCTTAAAATGTAAAGCTTCACATATATATATGGTTATTTTTGTTGTCGATGAAGATTTTGTCTATTCATTGTAGTTGGACTGCAATGTGGAATGCCCCACGCCTCTTTTTCTATATTTGAATAATGAGTATCCTTAACAATTAAATGTTTCTTTTTTCAGATTATTTGGTTTTATTGGACTTCTTGATTTTATTTTTTGATGAAAAATACTCAGAGTCGTGAGACGGGTAATTTGTTATATAAGACCTATTGTAAGCGCCTGAAAACAAAGTAGTTTCGCCGCCATTTTTTTTTCAAATCATAATAGACGTCGTTGGTTATAAAGAAGGTGATAAGTTCTGCAAAGCTACTCTAAGTTCACTATGAGGCCATCAACATAAGAGAATCAACAAATTTGACCAAAACTTAATCAAGCATACAGCTTGATACTGTATCTTTTGTTATTGTTTTACTTGTACATATCTTCATATTTATTTACTATACCATTTAATGTTGGATGACGAATAAGGCCCTTATCATACTTACCCTTAAAAGCTTGACATACTGGATTGACATAATCTTTTGTGGGAGACCGTTCGTATGTTGACATATAAATGTCTTTTTGTTTTATGATCATAGTATATGCATGTTTATACTTGTTTTTACAATTCTTGTAGAAAACATACAATTAAGAATAATCTTTTAAAGTGCCAACAGTATTTTCGTCTTTTAAATTTATAATTTTCTTTTATTTCTCTTTCTCTCATTTAGCATGTCTAGTATAAATAGTCAATAAACCTCAAAACAATCATTAGAAGTTTGTTCCTGACCCTGCTCATAGTTCCAAGTAATATCTGAATTATTTTTTGCTATTAAGATTATTTTTTGTAACAAAAAAAAAATGTTCCGTCGTGACATTTGTTCCGCTGGAACTTATTTCATAGGAAATATGTTCCACCGGAATTTATATCACAGAAAATTTTTACCCGGAATATATATTTTAAGAAAATATGTTCCAGCACTGTAAAATTTGTTCCGGAACTAATTTTTTTACTAAATGTTAAATAAGTTCCGGGTGTTATAGATTAACATGATGCATTAACTTTATATCAAGCAAAACATTCTATAGTTGTACCTGACAAGTTTAATATTCAACATTGAAGTCTTTAAACAACACGACAACGTTCAAAATAAGGTAAATCTTTGAGAAATTCAAATTAAGTCAGCATATATATTGTACGTAGATAATATGATTAAAAAACAAATGCACAACTATGATTAACAACTGCGATAAATATTTAAAACACACTATTTCATCTTTTGTCTCGCCTTGACGGAGTCAAAAAGCGAGACATAGGTATGCTGTTTCCGGCGTCGGCGGCGGTGGCGTCGTCAACAATGTATTAGTTTGTGATTAGGTCTAGTTTATGGCGAACCACAAGTGGTAGGTCAATCATATTTGGTATGCAGTTGTATTAGCATTGACACATCTCATTTCCATGGAGATTATTTGGCCCTGCCCCCTCAGTCATGGTCTTTTGACTTTGAAACTTTTGCTTATTTTACATGTATTAGTTTGTGATTAGGTCAGTTTATGTGGAACCACTAGTGGTAGGTCAATGATATTTGGTATGCAGTTGTATAAGCATTGGCATATCTTATTTCCATGGAGATTATTTGGCTCCCTTAGTCATGGTCTATTGACTTTGAGAATTTTGCTAAGTTAACATGTATTAGTTTGTGATTAGGTCAGTTCAAGGGGAACCATTTAGGGTAGGCAAATGTTAATTGGTATTCAGTTGTATAAGCATTAGCACATCTCATTACCATGGAGAATATTTGGCCCCGCCCCCTCAGTCATTGTCTATCGACTTAGAAACTTTTGCTTAGTTTACATGTATTAGTTTGTGATTAGATCAGTTTAAGATGAACTGCTAATGTTAAGTAAACGATATTTGGTATGCAAATTTATTGGCATTTGCAAATATCGTTTCCATGGATATTATATAGCCTCACCCCCTCTTCATGGTTCATTGACTTTGAAACTTTTACATAGTTTATAAGTTAATGTTTGTGTTTAGGTTTGTTTAAAGGGAACGACTTATAATAATTCAATGGTATTTGGTATGCAGTTGTATTAGCTTTGGCACATCTCATTTACATGGAAATTGTTTAGCCATGTACCTCAGTCATGGTTAATTGACTTTGAATATTTGCATAACTTATGAAACATGTTAAAGTATTGCTATTTTAATTTCAACATTTGCATAATCAAAATTACAAAAGGATGAGACATATTTCTGTGATAACAGTTTATCTACAAATTCTGATATGAAGTAACATATGTTGAATTGCAATATTCATAAATAAATGATTGATCTATACAAAAATTCTGACGGATTTTTCTTATTCTTCGCTTATCTGCCTCATTAAATTATTGTCATTTGGATATTTTTGTATGGATAATGTAATTAAACATTTTGCTATACTCCACAGAATCCATATTGGATGTTTACACCTTTTATTTATTACATTATCAATATAATACATGTTTTTATAATGTACTTGAATTATAACTTTAAGCTCACTGATAACAATGCTCAGTATAAAAGATAACTTGTATAACCAGTGGAACATATTTCACAGACAAGGAACTTATTTCACCAGGTAAGGAACAAATCTCACAAACCTGGAACTTATTTCACTAGGTAAGGAACAAATTTCACAAACCCAGAACTTATTTCACCAGGTAAATTGTGGAACTTATTTTATAGAGATGGAACAAATCATATAGAAATTATCTGTGAAAAAAGTTCTCCCAGAATATATTTCCTGTGATATTTGTTCCACTGGAACTTTTTTCACAGGAACTAATTTTGGCTCACATATTCACAACTATTCTATATATTATAGTTAGACTTGGGAGGATAAAAAACTTTAAAATGTTGTAATGACATGTCCATTGAAGAAGACCGTAGATTGAACTTTAGAAGTAAATTGTCACGTTTTGTTTGTTGCTTAATTGGGTTGCTGTCTAAATTAATTATGTATACTTCACATCTCCTTTAAAATCATTCATAGAAATTAAACATTGCTTAAAATATGTTAGCATACATCGTCTGAGAGTAGTTTTTTGCTCTTCTTATATTCCCTTTTAGATATATTTTTAGTCTTCTGTTCTTCAACCTCTGCTATATCTTGCTAGGAAGAGCTAGCTAGGTAGATCTAGACAACATCCAACTCAGCCAAACGATCTTGGGGTGTGTTTGGGGGCACTTATTATGTAATGAGTGGAAAGGATGAGTCGCTGGGATAGGTCACTGTTTGAAGCTTCATGAAATTGCATGAGGTCGAGAAATTTAGGTGAAATATAAGACAAGGATGATGATTGAATCTGAAACTAATCAGATGTCGATATTTTTTTACAGATGCAATTAAAATCACCAGAGATTGTGTATATATGTCTCTAAAATCACTTTCGTAAATGTTTAAGATATTTGTCAAATCTATTTACTAGTATCTCCCCATGAAATAGCGTAACAATGATAGCTATGTGCAGGTATATATACTTATTGTAAAAAATATATATGATAGCTAGGGTAACTGCATGTATGTTCTTTTATCATTCAATATATATAGTCAAATGCGTTTTGTTAAAATATACTTTTTCACTCATTTGGTCTTTTGGAAAATGTTGTTTGTGCTGTATTTAGACCCCTCTACCAAGAAATTTGTTTTGCATGCACACGTATAAAAATTGCGGTTTTTATCCAACGCAATCATAGGTTTGAACGTTGTTTTCAATTTAGACTTGTTTATATTTTTTCGTTTGGGCTTGTATTATATTTGCCTTCGGACTTATATGATCCGTTCATCCTATTTTGACTCTTTCAAAATTCAAGAGTCTATCCTAAATTGAGGTAAATTATATGGCCTTCCAAATACCGTTTCGATTCCTAACATCACTGAAGAGACATTAATTGTCGAAATCCGGATATGGTGTACAAATGTTTGCACCTCATGTTTGCGGTATACCATCTTTTCCGCAAGTTTAATGTTTTCTGTTTGGTAATAAATTAATGATAAGAACTTATTGTTACATCTTGTGATCCGTTTATTTGTCAATCGCCAATGGCAGTCAGCAGGGTTTAAGAACATCAGTTGTTCGACCTGATAGTCAAATGCGTTTTGTTAAAATATACTTTTTCACTCATTTGGTCTTTTGGAAAATGTTGTTTGTGCTGTATTTAGACCTATCTACCAAGAAATTTGTTTTGCATGCACACGTATAAAAATTGCGGTTTTTATCCAACGCAATCATAGGTTTGAACGTTGTTTTCAATTTAGACTTGTTAATATATATATATATATATATATATAAAGGGTGGGGTATTGGATGTCTCAGCTGCTCAACTCTGCCATAGAAAGGTCGAAGTGCCGCCGCCGCCGCCCCCGCCCCCTGAGATAAAAATTCTTGTGTAAATTAATATTAATCGAACAGAAATTATTTGATATCTCCGTTTTAAAATGTTTGTGTTGCCTTTAGATTATCTTACTGAGTAGGGGGCCTCGGTGGCCGAGTGGTCTAAGTAGTTACTACTGTAATCACTAGCCAGTCAACACTGAGGTTGTGAGTTCGAACCCCGCTCGTGCGGGTGCACTCGACTCCAATCTTAATTGACTAGGATTGTCAGTTTTCCTATCGAAGGTCGGTGGTTTTCTCCGGGCGCTCCGGCTTCCTCCACCAATAAAAACTGGCCGCCACGAAATAGCCCAAAAGCGGTGCTTAAAAGTGGCGTTAAAACACCAAAAATCAAATCAAATCAAATCTTACTGAGTATAAATAAATATAACTTAAGAAAAAGGCATTTTCCTAAAAGTTTTCTTATGTTTTCACGTATAAAATGTACGTAACATGAAATAATCACGTGTGTGTTTACAAATCTTCAGGAGATTTGGCTATTTATAGATAAGTGTTACCTGTGTACCGATATGCATGATTGGTAACCAGGCAAATCTATTTACTAAAATAAAGAGTTCAGATCCGACACTCTACGGGATTAAAAGACATTTACTAGGTTTGAATTGTCCCAACCAATGAACGAAATTTAATTATGACAGCGTCAGTAATATCTTCCAATTAGGTAGTAAGAAAGCCTTCAGCCCGCAGACTGTCCATCGTTCAACTCTTAATACCGTCTCCGAGGAGACGGTAATAAAAAGTAATCAAACAGAACTCAAACTATAGGAGATGTGGAATAAACTTCAATTTGACAGCAACCAAACGACACTGTAATATTTGGAAGCTTAAAGTTAACTAAAGTGATGATTTTTTCTAGAGGCAGAATGCCGTCAAATTTACATTTTTATATAGCTATAGACGGCACTGACATTGAAAATATTAAAAGAATTTAACTATTTGGGCATATTATTATCTAGAACTGGTAATACTAAAATAGCACAGAAACACCTAGCAGAAAAAAACCACACAAGCTATGTTTAAGGTGTTGAAATCAGGCCGCATACATAATCTTTCCACTCAGTGTCACTTAGATCTTTTCTATAAAGTTGTGAAACCCATACTTTTGTATGGATGTGAAATTTGGGGGCATGGTGATGTTGAAATTATAGAAAGAATCCATCAGAAATTCTGTAAACTTCTTTTGAAACTGAAAATTCCACACCTAGCTATATGGTATACGGAGAACTTGGTAGATATCCTTTAAATTAAAAATAGTATCTTATTGGTGTAAATTAGTATCTGCTAAAGAGACTAAGTTATCTTCTATCGCATATACACCATAAAAACACTATTTACTGTTAATAATGTATGTACATTTTTTGTGAGTGAAGTTAAAAATATATTGGATGAATGTGGTTTTTCAAACATTTGGATTTCTCAATGTTTTGGTAATGATATATGATTAAAAAATGCACTAAAGTTGCGATTACAAGACCAATACAAACAGTTGTGGAATACACAATTTCAAGAGTCTACATAATCAGTAAATTATAGAATTTTTAAGTTAGAATTAAATTTTGAAAAAAAATATTTTGATATGTTGGATATGCACGAAAGTATTATTTTATGTAGATATAGAACCACAAACTACAGACTCTCAATAGAGACAGGGAGGTGGAATAATGTTAATAGAAATGATAGAAAATGTCATCTTTGTAATATTGGTAGCATTGGAGACGAATTTCATTATCTGCTAGAATGTACATTTTTTAACGACAGTAGAAAATTATACCTTGATAAGTACTATTTGGCTTATGTTAATACACTAAAGTTTAGAAAATTGATGAGCAAATTAAACAAAAATTCAGAGCTAAAAAGATTATGTAAGTTTATAAAGTGTATAAATAAACATGTGGGTCCTCCTAGCTAAAATGTATATTATTTGGAAACCACTGTATTGTATATATGTTTTGTAAATAGATGCATATTCATGTACATATTTTGCACTCTCTCTGTACCTATGTATCTGCAATGGTTATGGGAATAAAGATATTGGTATTGGTTTATATGAACTCGTCAAGCTTCGGTGGATTCAATCAACACTATGATAACTGGACACATTATACAAAAGACGGCGCGTGCCATGTAAAATGTTTATAACTCTTTCATTTCTAAATACATTTACACCAAAATTTAAATATATGCTCTTTATTTACAACATTATCATTCTGAATGACCTTGGTACTTATATGACTGTTCCATCATGGGCTTAGTGCAGTTTTCAGAGCTTAGTGCACCAAGGCGGCCTAGGTGGTGTTTAGACGTACCGGGTAAATCAGTCTTCAACAAGAAACAGGGGCGTGTTTTTTTGTTCTTCGGTAGTGAGCCAGAAGAGGTCCATTTCTGTTTTTTTGCATAGGGAAGATCTTCTGGCCCTCTTCCACCTCTTCGTTTTTGATAGGTAGTTTAGAAGGCAGAGGCACATAACAAACATGGCGTCGTTTAGTCTAAATGACATTAATAAATTTATGAATGCAGATATATTGGAATGTGAGCTGTGTTATAAACGTTTTTATGGTATGACAGTCTTAATAAGGACATCCCTGTATGACGATAAGCTGGATAAATATAAGAACTACACGGACAATAAAAGTTAAGGGACGACTATTTGATATTCTAGGGAAGGGATTTTGATTGATTGGTGTTTAACGCTACTTTCAACACTAAGTTGGGCTATTCCGTGGTTGTCAGTTTAAATTTATAGAGGGCATTATTAACATTTTTAATCTGTCGCTTATTATGCATATTTTTCAGCTCTTAATTACCAGCCCACCCCACTAAATGAATGAATATCAAATGGTTTTTCTTCTTATTTAACACAAGTTTAATTGGTTGATTGTTTGTTGCTAATTATTAACGCCCAGTGACAAATATGTCATGCATGTTCAGGACTCGGTTCAAAACACGAGTTTAAAAGTCAGGTAAATAAATAAAAACGAAGAAATGTATGATTGCTAATGAGGCAACTATCCACCGGAGTTCAAATATGAAGTGGATGTAAGCAATTATAGACAACCGTAATTAAGGCCTTCAACAATAACAAAACCCGATACTGTCAAAAGGCCAGACGTGAAAAGTGTGCGAAACAATTCAAACGAGAAAACTTACGGCCTAATTGTACATAACAAAATAATTTACAAAATAT